TTTCCTGCTGAGTGGCCATGAAATAATGCCCAGGGAATAAGGCTTTTAAAAATAAACAAATATTTACTCTACAATTTGGTCTGTGTGCATGTACTGTATGTGTGTGGCCCAGTGTAGCTTTAGGGTATAGATACACCTACCATGTTTCTCCAACAATACAACCACCCCCAATAGGAAGACCCAGCATGTTTTCTAGGCATAAAATGAAATTAAGCCCCTCCCCACCAATTTAGGCCTATTTTAAAACATGCAAAATGGGGGGAAGGGTGGGGGGACTTGCCGTTAGGAGTGCCCCACGGGCAGCAATTCCTCGCCACCAGCTGCTCTAATAGGCGATCATGGCAGAGTGTGGAGAGCTCCCTACTCCTGCCAAGCACCTTTGTGGCAGACCCAAGACCTTCAGAACCCACCGCTGTTGATTTCCCTTCTGCCCATGCCGCCGCCGCGTTTGGAGCTGCCACTTCCATGTTTGGAGCACCACTGCTGTTTGGAGCACCGCTGCCGTTTGGAGCTGCCGCTTCTGCATTTGGAGCTGCCGCTGCGTTTGGAGCTGCCGCTTCCATGTTTGGAGCGCTGCCGCTGTTTGGAGCACTGCTGCTGTTTGGAGCTGCCGCTTCCGCATTTGCAGCTGCCGCCGCGTTTGAAGCTGCCGCTTCCGCGTTTGGAACCCCACCACTGTTTGGAGCACTGCCGCTGTTTGGAGTTGCCATGTCTGCATTTGGAGCTGCCGCCACGTTTGGAGCTACCGCTTTTGCATTTGGAGCACTGCTGCTGTTTGGAGCACCACCGCCATTTGGAGCGCTGCCGCCACTCCAAACATGGTGGCAGCTCCAAACGCGGAAGTAGCAGCTCCTAACATGATGGCGGTGCTCCAAATGGCGGCGGCACTCCAAATGGCAGCGGCACTCCAAACACGGAAGTGGCAGCTCCAAACGTAGTGGCGGAATGGGCAGAAGGGAAAGCAACAGCGGCGGGTGCCAAAGGTCTTGGGTCTGCAGCAAAGGTGTTTGGTGGGAGTAGGGAGCTCTCTGCGCTTAGCCATGATCACTCGTTAGGAGCGGCTGGTGGCGAGACTGCTGCGGGGCACTCTAGATGAGGATGCAAGGGGGGAATTAAGTCACCCCCGAAAAGACGGCCTAGCCATTTTTTCGGGGCTCAAAAAAATATAAGACCCGGCCTTATTTTATGAGAAACACGATAGTTGCAGTTGAAAACCAGGAACCTGGCAGCACCTTTTCAAACCAACACATTTTTATTAAAAGGCAAAGGATTTTGTGAACTATAGCTCATTTCATCAGATGCACGTAGTGGCTAAACAGATAAAGGATTTAAAGCGGGATGAGACCGTAGAGCAGGATGGGAGGGGAAAGTAGTTTAGTTATGCAACTGTAGACAACTTATGAGATAGATTAACAACATCAATTAACAGTATCAATGTATTATTGTAATGAGTTGAAATCCCAATGTGTGTTTATTTATCATATTTATATAGCGGTACATCTCCCAAATGTGATACTGACTGGCGAATAATAGAAAGATCATAAAAGAAACAGAAAGTATTCATTATAAAAAAATATTAATGTTTTATAGATGGCACTTAGCACCAGCAAAACTAGTGAAAATATTTAAAAGTAAATCAGCTAAATGCTGGAAGTGCCACCAAACACCAGGAACATACTATCATATGTGGTGGTCTTGCATAGAAGCTAAAAGTTATTGGACTAAAATACACACGGATGGAAAAAATGACTAAACAACATACAGATTTGAAACCTAAAATATTTTTATTAGGAAAGGTACCTGAAAGTTACAGTAAAGAAAAAACATAATCATACATGTATTAACATCAGCTAGGATTGTATTTGCTCATAATTGGAAAAGTGATAAGCTACCAACAGAGGGAAAAGTAATTGAAAAAATATTTGAATGTGCAGAAATGAATAGATTAACACTGGAAATTAAAGAAAAGAAAGAATCTGAATATTACATGGTATGGGACTGGTTTTTTTTCCCAATGGTTAGAAAATGAAACAAATTAAAATGGCTTAGATGTATATATTTATAAGAGAATAAGAGAAGCTTGTGAAATAGATATATTGGATATTATTTATATGGGAATGTGATTATTATTATATTGTTATATATATTGTTATATTGATAGGAAGAGTATTAATTATTAATTGTAAGCACATGAAATATGTACCTAATCAACACACGGTTGAAATGGAATGGATGTATTGTATATAAAAAATTAAAAAAAATATTAAAAAATATTTGGGGCTATAGTTATAGTATAGTATTTGAAAGATTAAAAACATTTGGGTTGTTTAAAAAATTTTCTACAATGGCATTACTTGTCGATGAACTGAAAATGGAATTTAAAAAGTATAAAGAAGAGGAACAAGAAGGGAAGGGCTCTTTTGGCTCCGTTTTCCATTTCTTGGAAATGGCGATTTCTACTTATCAGAAACTACAAGAACAAGAAGATTGGGATGAAGAAGAAGCCATCTTTAATGAACAAGCAACTTTAACTGGGGAAGAAAAGGCAAAGGGGGGAAAGAGAATGGAGAATTTAAGACTTAAAAAAACAACCAAAAAAGGGGAAAATAAGGTGAAAAGTCGATATAATGTTAGAAAGCAACAGAAAAGAGGAATACAGAAGAGGGTGGAGATCAAGAAACAAGGAGGTAAAAAGGCTAGACTGGAGAAGCAAGGGAGGAAAAAAGGGAAGAGAAGCTATAAAGGTTTGAAACAAGATGTAAAGAAACAGGATTTATTTAGAGATAATGAGTAAAAATATAACTAAAAAAGAGATTCTGCAAAAGTACCTAAGATTGTATTATTGTATTTGTATTTGAAATAATGCTAGAAAATTGGAACATTATATGACTATAAAATGAGATAAAATATTAAAAGGAATGTGTAAAATGTTTAAGACTTAAATGAATATTAATTTTAATGATAGAGTTTAATTGCTATGGATTATTGTTTTAATTATATTATTATTTTTTCTTATTTTAAAATATAGTACGTAGCTTTAGAATGTACTAAGCAGAATCTGAATGAAAATTATGTATTACTTTAAGTGTTAAATTTAGGGGAAAGATATAAAGGCGTCATACTCCAATCAGTGATTACAGGAGAAATTTTGTGTTAATGAGAAAAGATAATAGATGGTTGAAACAGAACAGACAAAAGATATAAGTATAATGATTTAAATTGAGATGAAATAAATAAAATAGAATTAAGAGAGTGAAAAGAGGGGAGAAGCTATATAGAAAATGTAGAATGGTAAATAAGATATGAAATGGTATATAAAAGTGAGCATGAATTTGAATTTATGTCTGTACAAAAAGATGTAACCCGGGACTAAGCCGCTTTCCAAAAAGAAGTTTTATGTTTTCATGTTTTGTGTTTTGTTTGTGTATGTTTGTTTATTGAAAATTAATAAAATTTTGGGGGGGGAAAAATTAAAAACATTAATATTAGTTTTAAAAAACTAGGGAGCATCTTTGATATTACATACAGTGTAGCCATCTGACCAGTTCTCCATTTCTCTGAGATTTCCAAGTCTGTGGACACAGCCACATTTTGCGGGACATCTGGAAGATTTGCAGGGATGGGTTGTAACTCATCTTGGGGGCAATGCTATTCCACAATGCGGGTGCCACAGCAGAAAAGGCCTATCTCCGGGGCCCTGCCAGATGTTACTCCTTAACTGATGGGACCCATAATAACATGCTGGACCTGATGGGATGGGCATATATATGAAGAGATGGTCTCTCAAATTCTCTGGCCCCATGTCATAAAGGGTTTTAAAGGCATTTTTAATTGCCACCTGGAAGTGAACTGGCAACCAATGCAGCCCGAAGAGTGTAATATGGGCCATCCTAGGAGCATACATACGGTAATGGTATGTAAGAGTGACCTTGAGAACAAAAAGAAAAGATTCTTTGTAGGGAACGATTACATAACAATGAGGAGAATGAAGTAGCCCATAGCTGAATAATAGATAAAGAAATTTAGAACAGGATCCATCCTATTTATCAGGTGATAAAGAGTTGGTGGAAGATATTATACTTTCAAATTTGCATCATTGATGTCACCCTCCCAAATAGGCCAGACAGGAAACAGGACGAGATGTTTCTGCTTTATTGTAAGTCTACATTAACAGAATCTTTCAAGTTTGAAAGCACAGATTTCTTAACCTCCTCTTTTTACCGCCTGATAAATTTGGGTGGATTCTTTCTTTCACCATTGTTCAACTATGGGCTCGCCCATAGTCCTCACAACTGCACTTGGATTGGGGAAGGGCACTATCTTTCCTATTGTCCCAAAGGTGCTTTTTCAGAAGGCAACTGGACTTTCTTGTTTTTTTTTCTTTTGAAGATGTTTCGCTCCTCATCCAAGAAGCTTCTTCAGCTCTGACAGGATAGAGTGGGATGGAAGGATTTATATTCCACTCCATTCAAAATTAAAAACAAGGAAGTCCATTTACCTTTTGAAAAAAAAACCTTTGGGACAACCATGTCCTAGATGACTGAGAATCTCTACAGACTCTCTTATTTTACAGAACTGAGATAAACAGAATTCATGGAAAGCGTGCCAGTCACAAAGCTGTAAGCAGGTGCTGAAAAACAAAATAGAGAAGAGTTCTTTTCCACTGGCATCTTCCCGAGGCTACTTTCTATGCCCTTGAAAGCCCTCCAAGGTGCAGAAGCATTCCAAAAGCAGATGTTAAATAGATGGCTATGTAATCTAATTGTTTAATGGGGTGGGGGGGAATAGAGAGCAAATGACTTCTTAGGGTGATTTCGTAGTTCTTGATCTCAGTGGAAAAGGAGTTTGCCTTGAACACAATATCTTAGGGTATTAGACATGAAGGAACTGCAATTATGTGTCTGTCATCATTTGATTCTTCCGTGTATGCTGCTCATAACTAAGCAAACCACATTCTTCCTAGCCTCCATCCAGCTGTCCCTTCCCTTCTTTGGGGGAAACAAGTCACAGCTTGATTTGTAGTTGCCTACCAGTTGCTAATCTGCACCTCAAGACATTAAGTCTTTAAACGAAATCACAGCACCCATGGAAGCGTAATACTTTTTATTTTCATTTTAGCCCATTGAAAAGGCAGAAGCTGATTGGAGCAGGCTTCTCCCAAATCAGTTTCACCTGAACTCTGCTTGGATTCTCAACTTTTTTTTCAGTCTTCCTCTTCTGTTCCACACTGCCATCTTAGCAGCAGGTAAGAACATGCCTAATGAGAATTTGGAAGCCAACCAGAAAAGGGTTGGTCTTCTCTTAATAATACAGTAATTTCCATTGAATACCACCCCATTTGATGCTCTGCTAGCAGTAAAGATGGGGGTAGATGTTTCGTGTAAGCTCCTTCCTCTCTTTCCCATGCCTTCCACCTCTAGACATCTCTCAGTTATCAGGAAATGTGACTGATCCAGAGGACGCTACTTTTCAAGGGAGACTCTGAAAACTTCTCCTGTTGGTTATTGTGCCCATCTCAATAGATCAACAATCTGGATTTAATTCATGAAGCCACAGTGAAGACCAAAACTTCTCTGGCACCAGGTAGGAAAAGAGCTAGCTCATATATTTTTTTAATAGGAACAGCTTTTCGGATACTCAAGAACCTTCAGATTCTCAGAGCTCTGAAGTACAATATTTTATCTCCTTCTCATAAAGTCAGGTTAATCCAATCATGGCTAATGGGAAATGGAAGTTTCCTAACCAAAATGAGTCGACTGCCGAAGTATACATTAATGCAATAAACTCAGCATATGCAACTTATCATAGATAAGCTTTATTGCGATTAGTAATCCTTTTTGATAAGCGCAGATTGTCCCACGATACTTAATTAAATTATCTGTACAACTGGAGTGCTTCAATCTGTTTAAGGAAAGTGACACATGTATAGTTTGCTTGGTCTGGAATGGGACATATGCTAGAATGCACATCATGCTGTTTTAGGTATTATTTTATATTTAGACTCCATGCTTGCAAAATATAATTTCATATGAATGTTCAAAGATGTGTCTCCCTCCGTTTTCTGGCATACTTATAGCTAGACCTCTTGAGAACAGAAATCGGGTGTAAAAAGCAAAATGTCTGAGATCTGTGAAATGCTTGTGAAGCACCATCACTCGCCTTCCTTAAGCCTGACAGTTCAGTGGATGGTGATACGCCAAAGGAGAAGCTGAAAGCACTCCATCAAAACTGTTGTGAATGGCTCTGAAATCTAACAATCAAAGAACAGACACAGGTTCAGCATATCATATTTTAAGGGGGTGGGTATCTCTAACAAAGTTATCTTTTCTTTGTCTACTTTTAATGAAAAGAGGCTCATTGGTCTTCTCACAATGAATTCCAGATGTAGTTTTTTTAATTTTGTCTAATGTGAAATAAGAGTTGGTCTTTTTTTTCCTCAAAATGTTGGAGTGCGCATTCCTTGAGGTTTTGTAAAAAAAAAAAAAAAGAGTGCAGCTAAGGAACCATGAGTTAGAGCAGCTTATTTCCCCTGTGGCCGGAGAAGGAAATTGCAAATCCTTAAGACCTGGATGTCCACCAGGCACCTTAAAATAGGAGCTTGTGAGAGATATATTGGGAGAGACCAGTGATCCCTAAGAAAAAGGCTGGAAGTGGCATGAAAAAAATAAACCCTCTGCATCGTAGGATTATCATAATATCTGTAGAGGGTAAGTGCCTTGCAATCAGTGAAGCTCTTTGTGTAGCTCTCAGTGTTTTGGGCTGTGGTATAAGTGATACAAAGTGTGGGGTTCTTTGATTCCGGAAAACTGTGTTAATTTGATAAACTACGGATAAATCTGCCATACAAACCCAGCTTCAGAATTTGTTGCTCAGGAAGATAGTTTTGCCCACATATATGGAACTCTACGTTGCAAATGCAAAGCTAGTAATTCATGTCACAGGGGTGTTGCTTGGTGACTGAGCTGGAGGAGTGAGGCCAAGGGTCACAAGTCTCATGGTGACAATTGGAACATAAATATGTAGGCTTCTTGACTGGAAGGAATATTGGCGTCTCAGAGACTCTGGACTTGGCTCAGAGCCATAAATACCTTTAACTATAAGATACAGCACTAAGAAAGCATCCATTTTAAAACCATAACCTAAGAGTATTTTGATATATTTGTCTGGGGCTGAAGGAGTTAGCAGCTGTGCACTGGAAGCACAGCTACTTTTGGGGTATCACAAAGAATCAGGGCTCAAACATTTGTCAGTTTGGGACTATGTCACACTCTCCCTTCTCAAAAGGATCTGTCTGAAGCCAAGTTCATGCCTTGTTTATGTCCCAGAGCCAATTTAAATTTCTCCTGGGAAGGGTCTGGGATTTGAGCTTGCAAAATGTCAGGACTGTCTGTTGCACTGTATGCAACATATAATTACCGTTGAAAAGGCCTCAATAGCAGGAAAACATTCCAAACCCATAATTTTTCAAGATCCTTCTTTGCCCAAACCAACTTCAGTTTGTCAACAACCCTGGCAAAACTGTCTCCAGCTTGGACACAGCTGTCTTGCCAAGGCTCTATTATGTGCCAAGGGAACCAATTACAGGCAAGAGGTGGGGTGGGGTGGGAAAAATCCTTCAGGCTGGCTAGCCCAGATTGGGTTAATTATTTTGTGGAGTATTATAGCCCAGGGATTCTCAACTTTGACAACTTTAAGATGTGCAGGTTTCAAATCCCATCATGGTTGGGGAATTCTGAGTTGAAATACATGCAACTTAAAATTGAGAAGGCTAAGAAACAGTGTTCTAGTCTGCCTCTAGCTTCTGTGCAGCCTTTCCTTTGTTCAAAACTGGAATCTCCTGGGAAAGGAGAAAATAAGTCACCTATTTTAGCCATCTGTTGCCTTCAAAATGTGCTGAAACGATTACATGGAAGTTTGGTGGTTGAAGAACACTGGATTGGGGGAATCTAAGCTAAGGCTAAAAAAATAGGTGTATATTTTTCAGACTGAGGTACATCCTTGGCTTTTGAATGGTGTGCTGTTGCTCATATTCCAAGACAATAGTGGTCGAGGTCAGGACCAGGACTTACTTTTGATTTCATTTCATTTACTTTTTAAATGTAGTAAGATTAGAGAGTTTAATGTTGTTTTCTGTTTTGTTGTATTTTTTATTGTTACCCTTGGGGGGGGGGGAGAGAAATGTGTCATGTTACATGAAAGGATTAAATACACCCAATATTCAGCTAGACTTAAATACACCTAATATTCAGGTAGCATTGTGTAGAGGGCTCCTTGAGGCACTTTGACTGTGGTTGTTTTCTTGCAGATGTTTTTATTACCCAAACTAGATAACAGCATCAGGACATCTTGTTGTATAGTCAAATGAACTGCTACCAGTAATAATTTAAGAGGAAAAAATTAAGAACATGTGAAAAATAGTGGAAATACAAGGCCAGGTTTTGAAGGCCAATTATTATCTGAATATTTGGCTTTAATTATCAGCCTAATTAACCAATAATTAGCCATTATCACTGGTCCCTTCCCCTCCCATTTTCTCTGCAGTTATACATGCTAAACATTTTACATTGTCTTAACTGTTCAATGTGTTTCTCAGTTGGTAGCTGTTTTTTTTCTGATTTGCTATATCTCGTTCAAAAGGCCAGCAATCCACTGTACAAAAGTAACTTCTATAATATTGTATACCAGTTTGTAAAGGATGGTAGAAGTTAACTCACACAAGTAGCTCACAAGACAAGGCAACGAATACACACTTCTTTTCAACAGTTAAATGCTAGCTCCCTAGAATCTGCATATTGACAGGTAAAGATCAGAATTGGGTAGGCAATGATTTTCCCTGTGACCCTCCATAGAAGTGAAAGTTGGATTCGAAGAAGCAATCTAGAAAAATCGATATTTTTGAACTTTGTGATGGAGAAGACGCCTGAGAATACAAATGGATAGCCAAGAAAACAAAACCAATCGATCCTCGAATAAATCAAACAGACTTACCACTTGAAGAAGATCATGCTTTGGACACATCATGAGAAGACCTAGGTCACTGTGGAAGGCTCTGGTGTTGGGAAAGAAAAAGAAAAAGACAAAAGGGGGATGGCCTGATTCAGGTGGACAGGATCAATTACAGCCGCAGCAGTGAGTGCACAAGGCTGAAGACAGATCATCCTGGAGAAAATCTACCTACAACCACAATTGAGTCCAAAATAAGTGAAACATTTGTTAAGTGTGTTTGCTCCCATTTTATAACCTTTCTTGCCACAGTTGTTAAGTGAATCACAGTAGTTGTTAAACTAGTCAAACTGTTGTTAAGTGAATCTGACTTCCCCATTGACTTTGCTAGTCAGAATGTCGCAAAAAAGATCACATGACATTGGGACACTGCAACCGTCATACATATGAGTCAATTGCCAAGTGCATGAATTTTGATCGCATGATGCTACAACGGTTGTAAGTGTGAAAAGTGGCCATAAGTCACCTTTTTCAGTGCCGTTGTGACTTTGGTTAAGTCAAGTACTACCAGTATATGGTTGGTAGGAGTCAGCAATGACTTAATGGTACATGATCTATCAGACAAACTTTCTGTCAACTCATAAAATATTTCTATGGTCTTTTTAGAGTTGCCAATAGAAAGGGAGGGGGAGCAGTGCAGCAGCTTGGAAATCGAAAGTGCATTCCATAAATAGTTTTCAAAGATAGTAACTAGGTGACTGAAGTTTCTGCCAGGCAAAATTCTAACGGGAGAACATGATTGATGACCCTTGGCTATGGATGTGTCTCATTGGAGAATACGAATTACGATACACCCAGGGGGTGAGGGAAAACCAGGGTCAAGGGTGACAGTGAATTATGTGTCTCAGAGTCGGCTACACCCAGGCAGTGCTGGACATGTTAACTCCCAATAAATCCTTTTGAAGTTTTAGAAGTTTGGCTCGAGACTTGTGATTTAAGTGGGGTAACTGCCAGAATCCTGACACTTTGATTGCAGAAGTCTCATAGCTCTTGTTCTAGATCAGGGGTGTCAAACTTGATTTGATTGAGGGCCACATCAGGGTTGTGTTTGACCTCGGGGGCCTGTGGTGAGTGTGGCCAGGATGGGCATGGCCAGACTCAACATCACTCATGTTGGGGGCACCTGGAGTGGCCCAAGCCCCCTAACAACTGTGACAGCCTTTTTTTTACCTCCGACAAGCTCCTGCAACACCCTGTCAGTGAAAACAGAGCTCGGGAGGGTCACCTGCGGCCCTCATGAGCTCCATTTTCACTGGCACCGTGGGCCAGTCCTTCGCTGTTTCCAGGGCAGCCCCACAGGCCAGATCTAAGAACCCCACAGACCGAATCTGGCCCTCGGGCCTTGAGTTTGACACCCCAGTTTTAGATGTTAGCAACACAAGTCAGTTGTCTCCATCCAGCAATGAGAGGAAGTCAAAGGTGAGGGGAACTGGGGTTCTTTGACAGGCCAGTTGCAAGGGCATTGGCAGTAGGTTTCGGTGAATTAGTCTACACTTTCTAAAATGTTCTTTTTTTTTAAATGCAGGGAGTTTTTGTTCTCTGTTAGTATGCAAACAGCATAATGATGTTTATTTATTTTT